CAAACTGTACGTATATTTTGTAATTGCAATACAAAAGGATTAATTGTTGCCAGTAATTTCTTACCACTTAAATTGTGTAAAAAATATACATATTACCAATACAATGTATCGATAAATAAACTTAAAACTAGTGCAAAATGGTACACATTGAGAGCATCAAATACTTAATATACATAATACGTTTACAATTTTATAAACAAGTAATTGATGATGAAAAAAAAAAAGTTAAAACATCCATCATACTAGAAAATTAATTACTTTAACTATACATTCTTATTCGTATAAGGTATGGCAGTCAGCTGATGACTATGTACATTTACATAAAGCTAGTAATTATGTAACACTGAACAGAGTATTTTAGGCGGTAAACTTTTAAATAAAAATGAAATCTAGATATACAGAGTGCTCTGAAATGTATGAAAAATTTTATTTTAGGTATTGTTGAATTTTTTTTATTGATATACTGTTGTTAATTGATTTTCGTTTGGTTTGTCCAACATACTTGGTTTCAGAATTATCGCAGTTCAAACGGTAAATAACGTTAACACTATCTAAGTTTTAAGTTTTGTTCTTATGCAGAAAATTTTTTTGAATTTCTTGACCATGTTTATTATGAAAAAAAAAGGAAATGTGATATTAAATTAAATTTTTCATTTTTTCTTACTACTACAGACAAGCCAAAAATGGGAGGAAGTGAAAATTGCAGTAATATAAAGCATAATTAATCACCAATGGTAAGAAAAAATTCATTTCCCAAATTAGAAATTCAAACGAGAACGGTACTATTAATACAATAAAATCGATTCATGTTATCAGCACATTCGCATGCCAACGAACTGCGAGTAAACCATGCACGTACATCTACAGGTTTTGACGCGTGTGCACGAGCTAATAAGACAACCCCAACTATGTACATTCAACAAACCCTTACTTTCTCTCCATCAACTCTATTGCTGTACATAGAAGTCGAGGCTGGTGCTGGAATGGGGCTATTGAACGTCCTTGACCAACTTTTCGTGTGTTGGTTCTGTACTCTGCTGTAGCTGTTATTGTTATTGTGTACACGAACCCCTCAATTACACGTGGATTATACTTACAAACTTTACGGAAAGAATTTCCGTAGTGGCTGAATGAAATTTTCGTTAAATAGAATCCGGTAGAAAAATGAGCAAATAATATTAAATGGCAGTATTTATTAGTTTTTTGTGGTAAATTGACCTATTACTTGTTCAAATAAATTAACAACTGTATGTTTGAGATGAAAAAATTTATTATTGATTTTCTCTTAATAAAAATAGTATTCCACTAGTACAGAGTTGCTAAAAAAGTTGAAAAATTACAAAAGTTTAGTAACGTTGTTAGTCTTTTCTATGCCACAGCTACATTGGATGAAGTAAATTAGAAAGAAAAATTTTGATCGAACCGATTCAAAAAGATCAATGAAAACTTAACTTCAACTACGAGTTCAAAAATTATGGTGAAAGTTATTTGAATTTTTCTGGTTTTTTTGTTATTTTTTTTTTTATTTCATCAATAACGTGTGAATAAAAATCCACTAAATTTTATAACTCTTTAATTACATCTATAACTACTTTTTTTCTAAAACTCGCAGTTTTTAAAAATATTAATTAGAGCTTTGCAAACTGAAATTATTAAAGAAAAATGAGAGTTTAAAAGTAATGATTGAGAATAAGCTACCAAATTAAGAAAAAGTTTGGATCACTGCAAAATCTAAACACAATTGAACAGTAACGGTTTCAGCGCATAATATATTCAAAATATTTAATAGTTTCAAAAAATATCTCGTAAAACTTTAATAATACAATTAAAAAATGTTTTGTTACTTCTGAG